CACCCTGCTCTGTTCCTTACAGGGGGGACGCCCCAACCCCCTGATCGGCCCTGCTCTGTGTGTGCCAGGGTGCGGTGCCCCAACCCCGCCCCCCATGGGCCCTGCTCTGTGTGTGATGGGGTAGAGCCATAACCTGCCCATTGGCCCTTCCCTGAGTGTGACAGTGGCAGCGCCCCAATCCCCTGATCGGCTCTGCACTGTGCGTGACAGGGGGGAGCTCCCCAACCCCCTGATCAACCCTGCTCTGTGCTTGACAGGGTTCGGAGCCCCAACCCCCCTGATGGGCCCTGCTCTGTGAGTGACAGGGAGCAGTGCCCCAACCCCCTAATTGGCCATGCTCTGTGCGTGACAGGGGGTGGCGCCGCACCCTCCCCATTGACCCTGCCTTGAGTGTGACAGGGGGTGGTGCCCCAACTCCCCAATCAGCCCTGCTCTGAGCCCCACCAGGGGCTGCACCTAGGGATTGGGCCTGCCCTCTGCCACCCGGGAGCAGGCCTAAGCCAGCAGGTCGTTATCTCCCGAGCGGTCCCAGACTGTGAGAGGGCACAGGCCGGGCTGAGGGACCCCACCCTCCCCCGAGTGCACAAATTTTTGTGCACAGGGCATCTAGTATTATGAAAACTATGTATGGTGCCTGGTGGGTACTGGAAATATCAGGGGGATCACTATGTAAAATATATGATTGTTTAGCACTATGCTGTACACCTGGAACTATTATAAAATAATATTGCCTTTCAACTGTAATTTAAATAGAGATAGACAAGAAACACTCTATAAATTTAAGAGAAATATGGGTCTATTTTATCTAATGCACAGAAAAATTCAAGTTCTTGATTCCACACTTCCTTCAACTTCTATTTCCCGCTCTTGCTTTTTGGCCTCTGTGTTGGAGTGCTTTCCATGACATTTTAAAACTGCTGTGAATGGGAAGCTGGGGAATTCACTCCTCATTTGATTTATGACCAAAAATATCAAGCTCTTCATGTTTCGGGCATGGACGTGCTGTGAATTGAGCACTGGCTATACTATGGCTCCTGTCCCTTTTCTACAGAATCACGATGGAAGAAGGATGCCTGACTCAACTGTACTCCACTGACGGTGGCAAACGCTCACTGAAAGGAATAATTAAGAGATCTGGTTTTTGCTTTAAACACACACACGTGCAACGAATTCCACCCGGGAGTGCCCAGGATTACAGATTCCAGGTTCCTATGTACCCACTGTCACTGTTGCTAGGATTACCAAAGAGAAAAGAATATATTCATTCAGGAAAAATGACAGTAAAAATGACAAGCATGTTTGAGTAACATCTAATTTAAATCCACAACACACAGTCTTCAGCGTGCATAGACGACGATTTTGGAGGGGATGTCATCTGGAGACTGTGACTCCTACTTTGAGTTTCACTTTGCTTTTCGGTTAGATTTTTCAAAGCCTTCAGATGACCCCAAACTTGAGCATACCAAGTTTCTCCAGTTCCTTTTAATACATAATAAGTTCCTAATGATTTCACATGAATCCAGTAGTAACTATTAAAAGCCATGTAATGTGACACACACTTTCCAATTCCATTTAAAGTCCCAAGAATGCCCGCCTAGGGTTGAATGACATCATTATCTATGAATTATCTTAAGCAACCTTTATTATTTATTAATTTATTTTTTTATCCTTACTCGAGGACATGTTCACTGATTCAAGAGAGAGACGGGGGTGGAGAATGGGGGTTAGAAAGAAACAATGATATGAGAGAGAAACATCGAATGGCTGCCTCCCAACTGGGGACTGAACCTGAAATCTAGGTATGCGCCCTGACCAAGAATCCAACCAGAAACCTTCCAGTAAAAGGGATGATGCTCCAATTAGCTGAGCCACCAGCCATGGCTAAAAGGTTTTTTTTAGCTTTAAACACAGAATACCCAAATACTCTCAGGCTGAATTATAAAATGAATCTTGGGTGCAATTTGATTGAATATTCAAGTAAGGAATGTAATTATTAGTGGAGTTCTTTTTTATCTTTCTGAGCACTTGTTTGAAATTTGATGCTCTTTTGATGACCCTCCACACCAGCAATCCTCATTCACTCCACAGCCTGGTAAGCACAAAAAGACAGACATTTATGTAGTCAAACCAGGTCCATGGAATTGTGTTTGTATTGGTGTTGGTTGTCCTAATATCCCTGAGCTGACCTGTACATGTTTGGCATGAAACCAAACTGAGAAGATAAAATCAAATATTCCATCCATCAACTGTCAATTATGCAGGGTACCATGAAGTAAATAGAGCAGAATGCTAGCTAGAAAGCTCTCAAAAATCCACACAACTAAAATATCCTTCTACCAATAGCTTCAACAGTCTATCGATCACAATGCACGCATTCTCATATCTGCAGAAGTTTGCATAGCCGGTGAGAACACATCCCGAGGAGGACAATAACAAAGTTCCTTAGTGCAACCCCAAACTGACATGAGCTGAACTTGAAACAGATGGGAAACAGCACCCATCCACCCCTTCCATACCCACTCCTTCCATACCCGAAACACAGACACTGCTCAGGAAAGGCCTTTTGTAGGGACCTTTCTCCCTTTGGCAGCCCCGCTGACTAGAGAACAAAGGTTTTCAGATCTAACAGCTTCAGTACCCACTGGCCATGAAAGCTTCTAAACAAGTCTCACCAAAAGGTCAAAGAGGAAAAAGGGGGCATATGTAATACGCTCAACAATAAAGATTATTAAAAAAAAAGTCACAGCAAAGAAGCACAGTGAAACTTACGCAGCGGATGCCCAGTCTCCGTCAGCGACAAGGTGGTTTTTGTCTGGTCCAGGAAGCCCCTGGACAGTGGCAGTCGTGGGAGAGGGGGAGGAAAGTGAGTCCAGACTGCTGGTGGGGGTGTCCTCCTTCGAAGGGTTAGGGCTGTCACCTGTGCAGGAGAAAAATAAGGCATCAACTTTAAAAAGAATACTGGGGGGGGGGGGGGGGGGAGAACAACTCCACAAATAATTATACCACAGCACCTGATTAGTCAATCAAATTATATCCAAAATTACATTTACAAAGCAGCTTGAGAGTACTGGGTGTCCTGACTTTAAAGATTTTGTTGTCTGCTTTTTCAATCAAAGATGCTTAAAATGCGTCATAGATAATACACAGTGAGGAGTGTTTTCCCCAGGAGAAAACGCAATGATCAAAATCAGATCAAATGGAAGATGAAAGCCTCAATAGCGGCCACAATGACTTCCTAATCTCTGAGGAGCACTGTTATAAATTACAAGGGTAACCTCAACAAGTCAGGGCAGCACACTGGCCCCACAAGGTCCAACCTCTCACTTCCTAGTCACCTGATAGTTCTTCTTAAATATATGTTTTTATTGATTTTTTTTAGAGTTAGGAAGGGAGAAAAGAAGCATAGATGTGAGAGAGAACAGCAATGAGTTGCCTCCAGTTTACACCCCAACCAGGAACCAAACCGGCAACTTGGGCACATACCCTGACTGGGAATTGAACTGGCAACCTTTTGGTGCACAGGTCATCTCTCAACTGAGCCACACTGGCCAAGGCACCTGATGGTTCTTTAAGTCATTGCCACTCACCACGTAGCACTTAATAAATTGAAAAATTCTAAGGGGACCTTGTCTTCTGAGCTGGATCACAATTTAATAGCCCAACTTATTAAAATTCCAGACACAGAAATTCCATTTCCCTGTGAACATTAGGGAGGATGTGATACAAGAATCGAGCCCAGGCAGTGACTCCAGAAGATGACATCAAACCAAAACTAAAGAGCATTTCAAAAATGGGTTGCATGATTCATTCATTCACATAGGACCATTTTATGGAATACAGTTAGCATCATCTGTACACATTATGGTAGAAAACACAGAAGATGGAAAAGAGAGCCCCCAAGAGCAGTGGTTTCCCTCAACTGGTCTTCTTGCTGTCACAGTATCCCAGCTACTACAGACACACCTGAACAGCACCCATCAGGGCTTGAAAACCCCTCAGCCAGACTGTCACTCCCCTAAATATTAACTATTCCACTGCCTCGTAGAGGCAGCAATGTTCTATTAAGATGGCCCTGGTTTGGCATTTGTTTTATAGGTGATGGGTCTCAATAGCTGGCCAACAAAGTGCATCATGGAAGCAGGTAAGACATAAGGTGGAAGCCCACACCATCAGGCACAAAGAGCTTCTAGCTAATCAAACCTTACATTTCTCCTCAGCCCGAAATCCTCGAAACGGAGCATGCAGGAAGGCCAGGAGCAGCAAGGAGCTTGCTCTCAGAAAGCCATCTCAGACGGCTTTCACATCTACGAACAGGAAAGCACATGAGAAATGCTGGGCTCTGATTAAGCTAGATCCCAAGATGCTAATCTTGAAAATTGACTGTATGAAATCATTCTTATTTAACTCTGACCCAGCTTGCAACTAAGGCTAAGGGAGAGAACCTTAGAAATGGAAACCTAGAAAAGCTGAATTCAGGGAAGTAGATGATGAAGGGACATCGAGCTCATTTGCAGAAAAGAGCTGGATGGGCTTGAGCTATCCAGGCACCAGGGAAGAAGTAGCCTGCGTTTCCTGGTGGGCTGTATCCCGGAACAAAAATAAATCAAAAGGAAGTCATAGTGGCCTATCATTGGGTTTAGACTTGGCCTTTCTGGGGCTGAATGACTCTAATTAGCTAAACACATTTGTAGTGGGGGACTTTAGAGCTGATGGTAAAGGATGGAAAGAGGGATTCTTTATGGGGACAGTTATGGGAAGATACCTGGATGATCCTGTGCAAAAGGTTCTGGGAAGGAAGAGTTTTCTGAACCTTTTCTTTCATGAGTCTGCTGTCGGGGAAGGTGCAAGATGTGGTGGGGCATGAGATGACCTGATGTCTGTGATCAGGTCTTCTCCCTGGTCTGTGTCGCCCCATAAAGCCTCACTCTGTCCCCATTCACAAATGTGCAACATAGTCTGTGGCATAGTTCCTCATTCAGTGAAGTCACCTTACTACGGCCCTTCACTACAAAAGTGTTTAGCTAATCAGAGTCATTCAGCCCCACATAGAGGGGCCAAGTTCAAGACAAAAGACTGAAACCCAGTGTAGACACTATGACTTCCTTTTGACTTATTTTTGTTCTGGGACACCCCCGCCCCCGGCTCCCCCAAAACACAGGCTACTTCTTCCCTCGTGCCTGAATAGCTCAAGTTCACCTCGCTCTTCTCTGCAAATGAGCTCACGAATAAGGGCCTTGACTGTCAGGCCACTCCCCGGTGTTCCTCAGTCATCATGAGTAAGGGCTGTCTTCAAAATTAAGAACATTTCAAACAGAAGCCCAGCTTGGGGCCTGAAGTAAACTCCTGAACATTTACCTGCACAACAGCTCCCACTTCAGGGCCTGGCTAGAAGTTGCAAAATAGGTTCAGCTCTGAAGCAGACAGGATAACCTTAACATGAGTCAGACGCACACAGCTTGCTGGCTCTGGAGGCTGGATGCCAGCCCTCAGCTCTCTGGGCCCCATTCCCTGACTGCAGGGTATGACAGAGCAAAAGCAGCAAACAAGGGCCTGGGACCAGCTTACTCCCTGATTCACTCCCACATTGAGAAATCTGTCAATGAGAAGCAACTGTGGGGAACTGGAGAGCCAGGGTCTAATATTACTTTCAAAAGACACCTGAACTGTGTTTACAACCAGATACCCCAGCTCATCCACATTGCCTCCAACCCTCTCCCCAAGCCAACTGACACAGCATAAATTGTCATTCAACATATTGCATCCCATCCTATTCCTGCCATACAGTGGCGATCTGAACCCTCAGGTGAAAACAATACTGGTAGAAGGGAATATGTTTACACAAACTGATACCTCACCCTGCTTTCCATGGGCAACAAAGGGCACAAAATTCCTTTCGCCTTCACTATTCAGGAATAAGCTTATTTACCTGAGAATCGTGGAACTCAAGGGAACACCAACACCAAGCACATCAACAGTAAATACCCATGTGCATGTCTGAAACTTTAGTTCCCCAAAACCAAATCACTACTTTTTACCTTGTATGAAAAGAACACGATTTAAAAAACAAATTCTATGTTCAATGATTTCTGGAATGAAGGTTTTAACTGCTAGGAAACTAACGTGTACTTGAGAATTAAAGTCAGATACTTTCATCACTTTTCACATTTCACTTGAGTGTCACGCAACTTCTTAGGTGTTGCACTTTAACAGGCTTCTACGGACAGAGTAATCACCTGTGAGCAGCAAAGTTGTTCCAAGTAAGTGAACACAAATGGTGCTGATCGGCTTTCCTTATGAACAGACTCCAAGGTAAGAAACGCACTAGCAGAACTACCACTGTCTAGAAGAGAAAATAACCCTCTTAACATCCAGCTTAATTCCCGCCATCTCCACCAAGCGCCTGCACACCACCTTTCCTGCCTCTTCTCTCCTTTCTTACAACTGTAAGTAGACATTAAGTTCGCATCTCACTGTCATCTAATAGTTTCCTGACCTGGTTTTAAATCCCATTTCTATTATGCATTTTTTGAGGATGGAAACCATGTCTCAATCTTGGTAATCCTCGAAGAACACACTGCAGAACCAAACAAATCACGAGTCTTCAGAAAATAGCAACAGTGGACTCACGTTCACGCAAAATATCATGAACACAGAAAGCCAATGCCCGTAGAAATTAAGAAGTGAAAATTATCTACAAACCTCAAAGTAATGTTACAAAATCTGCACCCAGCTGCCAATTATCATCTTCTCCCCGTTTAAGCCACACATGGAGCGCGCCTAAGCCCTTAGTTGGACATCCCCCGAGGGGTCCCGGACTGTGAGAGGGTGCAGGCTGGGCTGAGGGACCCCCCCCCCCTCAAGTGCACAAATTTTTGTGTACCAGGCCTCTAGTATCAAATTTAAAAAAAAAACCTGAAAGAGATCACATAAAAAAAAAAAAACACCAGTCTGACATCAGAGTTCTTAATAGCATCAATGAATGCACAATGTTGAAATAATATATTTAACGTATCAAAAAATTTTGAACATAGAATTATATATTCAATCTCACATTCAGATGTGAGGCCATAAAAAAATTATTACACATAAAATACCCAGGTTTGCACACAAATAACTATATTGATAACACACAAAGAAAAGTAATATGAGATGTTCAACAAACTTGAAAATGTCTATTGTTGTCTTTTTTTAAAACTCTAGGGCAAAGGAAAAGGTAAAAACACAACCAAAATTATCCAAAACGCAAATTCTGGAAAATATCAACATGATGGGGTGGACAGCCCAGAGAGAGATGACAGTGGAGAGAGAAATATAAATTATTTAATTTAAGAAATCAACAGATAAATGAGATTATAAATCCACAAATAAGGGAAAACTTAGAAACAAACCAGAACATATGTCATTGCAAATAGCAGAATAACATTTGCTTTTTTGAAGAGAAAGCAGGAAAGAAAAAATCATGTATCAAAATTCATTAAATAAACATGACAGAAATCCAAACATAATAGTAATTACAATATATATAAATGGATTTAACTCACCAATTAAAAACTCTCCAAATGTATATTTTAAATCCAACAATATGTTACTACAAGAAATATGCTTAAAACAAAACAAAGATAGAACAAAAAATAAAAGATAGAAATACCAGGCAAATGTGAACCAAAGAAAGACAATAATCTTAAATAATCTGCATGAGAGACAAAGAGTCATTTTATATTGATAAAAAGACAAGATGATCAAACAAGAAAAAAAGCACCTAAATGATACAGTTTCAAGGAACAAATACAACTATGAGGAGAAACAGAAAATTCAACAATTGTAATTGGAAATATTAACACATTCCTCTCAGATACTGCTATCAGCTAGGAAAAAAATACAAGGTCTCTGTAATCAAAAATACAAAGCTGATCCACT